CTTTTGCAATATTTATTACAATAATATGAAAGCTTTGATAGTTTATAACCTTCATCGAGATTTATGTGAAGAAATATCATTTATCATTTACCAAAATAAAAACTACACGTGACTGTGAGGATATTATTCAGATCATGATTTCCGCGATTACGAAGGAAACATGTGGTGTAATGCCAAGTATGCCAAGAGGTTGATTTATCGATGCCAAATTCAAAAACTAATAAAGCAGCGATCTCAAACAAGAATGACCTAACTTGATGAGAGCACAAATATCACCATCACATAAACGTTTCTAAGGCGAGTGCTTGCCTCTTGTAATAAAATTGGAATGCAAAACTGCCTATTAATGATGTCAAATTATCGATTTATCGATACTAACATTCATGTTTTCTCCACATCTAGTAAGTCTTACAAATATAATTACCTGGTACTCTGCCAATGAATATGTCGTACATTATATTTGTGTTAGGTCAGTAAAAATCAGTTATTCAGACGGCCAAGCTTGCTATAATTAGCATTCCTGCATTCTGCATAGAGTTTTATGCATATCTTCATATTTTGACACTAATTATTAAGTGGTTTGTTTATATAAATATCTACAAATGCAATTTATAAAGATAAACTGATTCTTCATCCTTTTCCACTTATCCATGAGATAGATAATTATTGATATTTATTAACTTTGTCTTATTCCATAATTAATTTCAACCTGATTAATTGATATTTTAACTTGATTAATTAATATTTACAGAACAGTTCATACTTTATAAATAAAATTTGAAATTAAACAATTATATAAAGCAACAAATGTACAAAATAGATACAAAATTATAGCTTCACAAATAGATGTTTTGATTCTTATAAATTTGATTTGTTTGCCAGTATCATGTAGTGCATGTGTACGTACATTCCAATGAAATTTTAGTAACAAGGTGATCATGATGCTTTAATTAGACTGTTTTCGTAGGAAATAAACAATTGCATTCTTGTTTTGAAGAGCGAATGCCTGTAGAATGCATATTTGATTTTGGCTGTTTGCTATACTTGGCATCGTATCGTTATTCATACAAATAAAATGTTAAATTTTCTTTAATCTGATAAATCTATTTTTACTTAGAAAAAAACAAGCTTAAACCGAAGAAATATGAAGTAATATAAAAAAAATTATTTTATACATAAAGCTAATTAAGCATCTCGGCCAATAATTGAGATGTTAAACAATAAAATATACGAACATAGAAGAAATATAAGATTGATGTATAAAACAGTTGTTTATTGTTTTCGCACAGAGCACTGTCCGCGAGATTTTCTACTGGCAAGTGTCCACTCGGACACACTTCTGCATCTCATCGGTCATTTTCATCGTGTCAATATATACGGAAATCCATCTGGCACACACTCGTGAAAATACATGAGCTGTAAAACATGAGAAATGTATATCTTACTACGCTTTTCCTTCCCGTAAGTAATTAATTATCATAGAGTATTAATCATAATTTTCAAACGCTAATGATGCCCAAAATTGACTCGTTGATATCTTAAAATTAATTAGTTTTTAATATTGACGATATAGAGATTTTCTTCTTTGATATCAAAACATAAATCGCAAATGCATTCTCGTTATGTCATTTGTAAATAGCGTGTCATATGAATAAAATTGGACAGTTTTATTAATTTATGTGAACGAAATGAAAAGATAAAAGCAAATGATTATTCTATGAAACGCAGAATGTATTTTTGCTTCGAAACAAATGTGTTCTAAAATAAAGTAAATTGTGAAATGTGTGACAAATTCAGATGTATCACATTCATGCAATGTCAATTTTATTGTGCATAATTGTGTAGTGCGACATTTGTTCTACTTCATAAATATTTGTTGAATGCATCGCAACAAAAACATATTTCTCACGGATACTACTTATTTTTAAACTAACAATCTTTTAATCAATGTGCTTCACCATATAATTACATCTTCTGACTTCAAAAAAGTTCATCATCACAAATATTCTTTTTACAAAAAAATAGCACGGAGCAATTGTCCTCTAATCTACTTATCTGAATCGTTTTTGCTTCTATTGTTGTGAAGATTTTTGTCTTGATTCCAAGTGGCGAATCCTACATTGATTTGTCCGGTGCACCATACGCTCCGTTTTACTGTCGCTTACTCGAACCACGGGATTTTCATTCTCTATTTTCGTACCGCTGCAGTATAATCTGTTCGTACAAGAACAGTGGTAATCGTACAATATAAGAGATCTAATAAAAACTCGTTATAATATCGCATTCTCGTTCCATCATTGAGCTTTGCGTCAAAAGCTCGTTGATTGATGTGTGCTGGCTCAGAATACGAGACGTTATGGATGAACGGAGATGTACACTTAATTAAATATAATTTATCATATTAAACGGTTGCCGTATTAAATTGTAATATTTCTAAATCTTCTATCTTAAAGAGTTTTCTCTATTCAAAGTTATGATAAAAAGATTTCCTTAAACTAATAATATTGATTAAATTTTGCACTTCTTCGGCTCAAAACTTGAACTTTCTCCCTTAATTCTTAAGCTATTGTTCAAGGAAACTCGAATCGAATTTTTCAAAACAATTTTTCCCTTGCCACAGGTTTTGCGCTCTAGTTACTATTACAAGACCATGTTTTCAAAGGATAAAAATAATTTGAATCGAATAATGGCCAAGTCTCTCCGTACAGTACATCTTTCACCGCCGTCACCAGATCCCACGGGACGGGATGAACGCGAGACGAGGAGGAGCCGCCTCTACAGTCGAGGCCGGCTGGGTACATCGGTATCCCAGAAATAGCGCAAGCGCCTTTCCGAAAGCTTTAAGGCCCTAGCTAAAGAGGTACATGCCGACGATTGGCTGGAGCTTGCGGGGTGCGGTCCACGACCGGGCACGCAAACCGCTATATCGTCCCATTCGAATATTACCGCGGCGCCGCATCGCCTCGTGGCAGTGTGTTAATCGACAGCAAAGCTGCACCGCGAATTTCGCCTCTTTGGATCTTGTTTTTATTTCTTCACGCACAAGTCCGCACTTCTGCGAGACTCGGAGGGACCGATCGACCGTGTAGTATATCGGTGTTTTAAGTAGAGTAAAAAAAAGTCAAATTGCGCTGCCATCATGGTATGTTCTATCGATGATATCGTAAGTCGTCGCCCTGGTAAACATACACGTTTTCCTACTGTACTTTACCTATTTGTTGTATTTTTTTAACCGTGCTAGATCTATCTGTTTCTCTCTCTCTTTCTCTCTTTCTGTCTTACTCTCTGACTGTCGTAAAAAATCATTTGCACGTATTATATTTAGACATTTAACTTTAGATCACTGTCTCTAATCTGTTCTCAATCTCATTTGTGCACTTTTTTTGTTTTATTCTTTATGCATCGTGATACAGTAATGATTAACATATATCTCGTGCTCGAATTCTCTGAATGCGATAAAGTAGGGGCGCGCGTGTAAAGCAACCGACTATTTCCGGTTGAGAGAGATATTTTGGAACCACGATGGACGAGAAGCTGGAAAAACGTGATTGTTTCTTCAACGGCGAATTCGTTCGACACCGCCGCTTTAACATTATCTTCGAAAATAAAATATATTTTGCTATCCGAATATTTTTATAATGTGGTATTAATAATACACGAAAGAAAAAGCGATTGATATTCTCTTTTACGACTATTATGTCATACAAAGTTATCGCGGATCGTTTAAAGCGGCGGTTCGAAAAGACATATTGAAAAATCATCAAAAATAGCAAAAAATCTAACAATCATCAACAGATAAATGTATCATTAAATCGTAATAATTATTTTATTATATAAAATCTCACATATTTGCTATATAATATACTCAAAATTGCATGCATGCAAACTCCTGAATTTTTCACAGATATAATCAATTTCGATATCAGTATCTTGCATAAGATGTAGTATTCATTGAAATTGCAAATTAAGATTCACGATTTAAAGAAATAATAATAAACCGGATGGTTTTAGAAGCAAATGTGTTGAATGAACTTTAACAATGCACGAATGTTTCTTTCAAGAATAACTGTCGACTTTTAATTAGACGTTTCAAATCTAGAGTTTTTAACAATCTGTATATAATCGTGTAAAATTAATAAATCTAAAGTGGAGGTTCACTATTCACTGAAAATACGAACAAAATATATTCTTTATTTGATTGAATATATTTTGCATCTACTCATAATTATAATTCTGGTAATAATGTCTTTCGCTATGCTTGCAGGCTGACGAATTGCCGGCGGAACAAATTGCCGGTACGTATTCACAACTCGTCAATCCAATTATAACTCTTTTCTAACAATTTTTTATTTCTGTTTTAACAATCAATCACCTTTTAGCGTATTATGTTCTGGTAATCGAAAATTTGACTTACAAAGACAAGCAGTGGAATGGAATGATTGAAAGTTGTCGAGATCTGTATATCGAACAGTTTGTACGCAGGAACTAAAAATAGAAAGCTTTTACATCGGAACACAGTATCTGGATCGCATCGAGCCCGGATAAATTTTTCATTGCTTTCGCCGTCTTTACCCAAGTTTATTTACGCTTTAATCCGATCGGGGGCAGCTGCAAAGAGTGCGGCTATGTATAGCTACCGAACACACGGTGTTAGCGAGAACGAGATGAGGGAGTATCCCGCGCGGCCGGCGATCAATTCTACAAATATATCGAAATGATAAAAATAGGAGAGAGAAAGAGGTTTCTCCAGCGGGAAACCCAGAAAAATAGCCGTAATTCCGCCTCGCCATTTCCAGCTGTTTGCGATCGTATCGTATCGTATCGCGCGGTGTTCGAGGATTTTAAAACGATTGCCTGGAGCGGCGCGCGTTCGTGAGTCAAGCTTTCCGCAACGCAGTAGCTCGGAATTTGAGAGCTCTGTGTTACGAATATAGCCCGAACACTATACGATTCTTAGAGTGAACCGAAAATAAACTAAGGCGCAATTTTTTTTCCTGTTTAGTTGATAACGAAACAACCGACGGCGATGTAAATCCGTTTCGCGAAGACGCAAGCGTTTGTAGCTTATTGCTTATTGCAGGATAAGTGATTATCCTGGTACTTCGCTCAGATAAACAGATATTAATATACGTTACGTATGCATTTTAATATTTCACGCGATGTTACTACATTGCAGTTGGCTTATCGCCGAATAATTTTATATTCGGATTCAAAATTAAGGAGATAGTCGGAAGAACTGTGCGGTAATATGATATCGTGTCAAAAGCTCAAGAGTTTTGGATCATATGTTAAATCGGAGTTGAACATAATTTGAATTCGTCAAATGTCGGAAATTTAATAATCCGCGGACAGGTGCGAATCGTGTAGTCGTACAGGGCAATGATAAATAAATTGTGTACACTAGTGCGAACGATGGCGTATCAAGCCAAATAAGCTCAGCGCCAGCTGCCGCGTGCTGACGGAAGGGCGTTAACATTCGGTCTAAATCTGAACCGCTTCGACGAATGTCTTTAACCGGATGACTTATTATCCGAAACTAGTAGTAGCCGGAAGAGACCATTTGGTTTTTTATTCAATTTTTTTACGAGCTATCGGATTCTGTATCTTCGGTTAAGAAAACTGCTGTTTTAATTCTTATATGCTATTCATATTTCGGATTATTTTTGTAGAAGATCTAATCTATTCAAAATTTCTGTTACTTTTTCGTTTTGAGAGTTACAAGACTCGAATAGTGAGAACATTTTTTATATAAAAAGATTAAAGATTATATAAATTTTTATTATAATAATTACAATTGCTGAAATAAAGAAATGGTTACAGCACTACCAAGTAACTTAAGAGTGAAAGTTCAGTCATTGATAGCATTCTTATTCTAAAAAGAAAAAGTGATGATAATATCTGAAATACAATTGTTTATTTTGTGAATTATTGTTCACAGTTCTGCGCAAAGCTTTTGATAGCTTTGATAGGGACAAAAGCGGCAGCATTCCCACTGACATGGTTGCAGATATCCTTCGGTTAATGGGTCAACCGTTCAACAAGAAAATCTTGGACGAGCTCATTGATGAAGTGGACGCCGATAGTAAATATTTTTTTATTATTATTTGAACTGATATAGATCTTACTACATAATGTTATATCGCATGCAAAGCTTTCACTAGTTTTAGAAATCATACACTCTTGTGGGACTACAAACTCTGACAAATTTGCAATTTCTCTATCTAAAATTTCAAACACGAAAAACGCTGATCAGCTAAAAAAAAACAAGTCAAAGAAAAAATTTCTCCTCGCAATGCAACCAACGTTAGACAGACGACAAATCTAAAATTTATTTAAAGATTATTATTGACGGTAACAATAGCTTGTTTACTCTTCTATTTCTAAAATGTTTACGGGACATTGTATATGCGATTGGTCTCTGCAAGTTGTTGTCAAATGTCACGCAATTTAATTTACCGTAACGCGCACTCCAAAATCTTATTTATAGAATTCGTTGAACAGTTTCGTGAGGTTTTCAACAATTCTTACAGAATCTGGACGACTTGAGTTTGAGGAATTCGTCACGTTGGCGGCGAAGTTTATCGTTGAGGAAGACGCAGAGGCTCTGGAGAAGGAACTTCGAGAGGCTTTCAGGCTCTATGATAAGGAAGGTAAGATGAAGAATGATAAGGAAGACATTCATAAATAATTTAGCACAGGAATGAGAAAACGTTGTTCAACAGGATCTATCTACTGTTAATGCAATTATAATTTTCAATGAAAATTATAATTTCAATGGATGGCTATCTTTAAAAAGGAAGCAATAGATATTTTATGTATTTCATAAAGCCAACGAAGTTCCGTTGTGAGGAAAGACACGCGTGACAAGGATGACATACGTGACAAGGAAATCTCAAGAAATATATTTATACAAACAAGCGCGCAAAATTCGCATTAGAGTTTCTTATACGCGAAATACAAAAATAAGCCGGTTACGCGGAGATTCCCAGCCTCACGTGGCGGCCGAAAGCCAAGAATGTCGTAATACATCTTTCATGAATTACGATTATGTCGAGTGTAGCGTATGTATTTTAACGTAACTTGGCACTGAAAGGATAAATATCTACTACGCGCGGAGTGGATAAATTTTGCAATTACTATTTGTGTCAAGTGAAAGGGGGATAAGTACTACGTGCCGAAATGGATTTGTAGAAGCGTACAGAAACAAGAAACAATGTAATAATATTGGCATTTGAAATTGCAATTTTCTCGAGCATAAGCGTGGAAAGGAAGCTGTGATGTTACGTCAATGTTAATTCATTAAAAACATATTGCGTGAGTCACGATTATAGGGCATTTAAATGCTACTCTCACACTTGTTATTTTCCTTGTTTAATCAGGTAACGGCTACATCCCAACGACGTGCTTGCGCGAGATTCTGAGAGAATTGGATGACCAGCTGACGAACGAAGAATTGGACATGATGATCGAAGAAATCGACTCTGATGGCTCCGGCACAGTCGATTTTGACGGTATGTTTTCGGTTTATTTCTTCCTCCTCTCGATCGAGATACGGGTGGTCCATAAATCCTAAAATTAATAAACAAATCTTGTTAGTTGGCTGTGTAATTTCTTCGAGAAAAATTATTTTTCTTAGAAATGTTTCTTTTTTACTTACTTTTCCGGGTTTAAAATTTTTCACAATAGTTACAAATTGAAACTAAATTGAAAGACGGTACAGTACTGTTAAATCAAAAGATTCGCTCTATTCCATTCTCCCGGAGAATCGGCATATGCCTGTGACATCATACAAATTGAAGGAAAGAAAGCCAAGCGGTTTATTTATATTCGAACGAGAGTTGGCAGGTCGAGAGATGCCACTGATCTCGCATCTACCTATTTTTATATATGTACTTAACAAATCGCGGTGATTTATCAAAATCACACGTCCGTTCCAATTTCTGATAAATCTCACATGTGATATTCATAAATATTATAGTGTAAGACAACTCTGCAAGAAATAGATTAGAAAAAAAAGTGGAGGAGAGAAATACACTTATTCTGTAAAATTGAATCTTTTTTAATCTTTGTGTACCAGTTATTGATCGGCACGCTAATTAAACTGACAATAGAAAAGAATATATTGCAGAAGATAATTATTATTCAAGAATTAAGTACGAGATTCGAAAACATTAAAGCGTATATAGAATATAGAAAAAAAGTAGATCGAAATTCGGCATTTTTCAATTTATGCAAACATGTAAAAAATTCTATTGACCAAGTTTCTAATTAAAGTAAGACTATATCTTTGAACAAAAATTGCTCGCAGCAATATCAGGTCCATCTTTTTGCTCTTTTCAGAGTTCATGGAAATGATGACTGGTGAATAATTATCTTGAATGAGTGGTGAACTGCTTTTGGATCCAAAGACACTTATGCGCGTGTAACGTTATGTCTTGAAAATAATCATTCGCGTGTTTATGAGGAATCGATGTACAACAAATTTATTCGCACAGAGATATCTTCCATTTTATAATTAGTCTCAGAAGCAAATTCCTGTCATGAACATGAATTCATCGAATGAATATTTCCTGCTTTTATACGTACATTATATTTATTATAAAGCAGCAAGTTTTATTTTGTTTCGTATACTTACATAATACCTTAAAATTTTTTTCATTGAAAAATCAGTATATTTATTGTTATTAATAAAACAAATTAAGTCTTATATTTTGTGTTATTTGTTCATTTCCTTCATTAAGATTGTTGATATTAAAATAGAATTAACTAGAGATCTATTTCAACTGAGACAATTGAGGAAGAAGGAGAAGATCAACCATTCGGTGCGAGGATTATGAGCTAAACTTTTTATTTATTTAACATTCGGTTATAATCACAATAAACTCGAGATTCATTCATAATTGACATGTTGATAGTTGCAAACATAACGTAGAATAATATGCTTAAAAAAATATAGTCACTAATCATAGACTAGCAAGTTTACTGATCGCAATGGCACCCCTAGCCAACCTTATAATATAAGTAAGTCTGCAAGAATTTTTATCTAGAACTTTATTTTATGATCAAAACATTCGCAAAATAATGATATTGTATTTAGACAACGTATTTATATTTCTCTGAAAAGTAATATATAAGCTAGAATTTAAAATTTATGACTTAGTTATCGTTCTTACATACACGTGGACTAGACTATACGTTATGGAGAAATAATGTTATAATTTTAATCAATTTCTCCACTTCTTAACAATACACACATACAGATGTATATCAGCTCTATGTTTATAATAATGTTTAAATTTTATCTCAATATTACAATCTATATATATATATAATTTTAATTATCTAATATAGCGATTAATTAACTATTAATGATATAATCTATCTATTATATGCAAATGTTGGAATGCTTTTAAATATTAATGGTCCTCGTGATAAGAATTGAAAGGACTTTTTTATTAGTTCATATTATGTATATATAATTATGTTGTTATATATACATAATATATGATAATAATTTGCTATATTTTTCACATTAAATTGTTATAATTTCACTTACAACAGATTACGTCTTATAGCACCAACAAAATGAAGACATTTATGGCAGTTATAAAATATATCATCAATGAGTTGTGTGCGTCTTATGGCCGGTTTATGCTTCGGTCTTAATCTTAATCTTAAGAGTTGATAACGTAGAATGCCATAAGGGCGTTTCACTTCCCTAGTCTTAATCTTAGTCTTAATCTTAATCTTGGAAAGATCCCATCTTTTAACTTTAGTCCCTAATGTCCTAAGGCCGGGCCAATGAGGCCCTTGAAGGGCCCTTGAAGGAATGAGTAAGTCTGACGTCCGACGCAGCACGAAACCGCGCGAAATAATGGTTTTCGATTCTTGTAAAATACAAAAATGAGTGATGCTGATTTAATTGAATGTGTCCAACAATTCGATGTTGTTTGGAATAAAAAAAATCCAAATTATAAAAATAAATTAGTGGTTAGGTTTTGTTACATTTGCACATGCGTAGTCCGAATTTCCAGGGAAGCATAAACGAGTCCTTAAGATTAAGTTAAGACTAAGACTAAGATTAAGATTAAGACCGAAGCATAAACCAGCCATTACTATTTTTTTTTCACTAAATAAAATATAGATAAGTCATAAAGATGAACGAAATTTATCATAAATTTGATTCTCTTTTACCTTTGATAAGATCAGATATTTAAACGAGAGTTTGCAAGTCATCTTCCTCCAAATCTTGTTCAGAGGATGAAATTAAATGTCACATCTTGAACAGGTGTGGAAATTCATTGCTAATTTCACGTACTATTTGCTGATCTTCTTGACTCTCTGATGTTTCCTCGCAAAATATCCTAACATAAAACACAAAGTATGCAATGACAAAATGAAAAGTTATATAAAAATTTTTGTAATACGTCACTTAGTAATAAATTAAAATATGACGTATAACTGGTTTTACCTTGTGAAACATTTTAATAAATCTTCAGATCGATGATGATGTTCATTATACTTTGATGTGCGCAGGACTCGGCGACAAAGCTCTAAATATTGTCTACGCTGTTAAATACATACACACATTGCATTAATGTCACAAAATAAAATAAATGTATATAAATATACATCTAAAACATGTTTAATAGGCTTAATATAAACATTTTATCATGGCATAATACCTTATCACCCGGGAACATATCGAAGAGTTGTCGCAGTATAATATCGACGAGAACTTTCACATCGTTGGTGTAAAAGAGACTTGCTATGGCATCATTACTAAACAAGTCGATAAAGAGTTTCAACACAGAGTGCGGCGGTTGCGGCTCGTGATCAAATATTCGTACCGGATCCTCTGTGATAAGTTAAAAGTTTGTCAGCTCGGGCAGTCAAGTCTGACATTACTTGCATAAAATTTACCTTCTCTGTTAAAAAGGAATAAAATTTTTTCAGTGAATGTCTTGGCCACAGTCCGTTCACGTAAGGCATTTAGAACTATATTCTCAGAAGTTGTAAATTGCAGATTGTAGGATAATATTAAATTTACGAACAAGTCTGGGATCTGATCCTCTAAATCTGTGTCAGGTGGTGTTTCTATTAGGTCTAGAAGGAACGATATAAAGTCTGGACCAAGTTGTTCTGTAAAGAAAATAACAAAATGTTAATTTCTATATATTTTTAATTACAATATATATATTATAGCATTTATTTTACTCACCCAAATGCGTGACTGGCATAGGTTCACCCATTGAAAAGATCATCGTAAGTAGCAAAGAAGAATAATTTAATTTCAATACATTTCTGGGATTACTTCTCATATCTCTGTAAAAGCATAGAAATAGTAATTATAGCTCTGCTATTATTATTAATGCTAATTGATTGATTTAAATGTCTTAAAAATAAAATTTTGTGTTACCTTGCTAGTTCCATTGGTAAAATACTATTTAACATTATAGTTAGAACCACTGCATCCAAACTGCACATAACTCCAAATGATTGCAACAATAATTGTCTAATAGTCCATCTTGTCTCCATCTGATAATACTGTACCAATATTGTTACTCCATTATATCGATCTTGTCTCAAAATATATTTCGATACATTTGCATCGGCATTAGTCTATAATAAAAAAATATATGTACAAAAATTATTTAAATGATAATACAAGTGCAATGCTAAGTATGTGGTATCAATGTGAAAATTTTATAATTATCGTTTAATAAAAAAACATACCAATATTTCAGTCAATTCTTTAATATATTCTACGATAATAGCTTCATCTTCATGAAGCATCCAACTTCTTTGCTGCGAATCTTCCTTACATGAAGTCAGTTCAGTAAAAATTATTTTCAATCTATTAGCGTCATAAGTTTCTTCTATACTCATTTTTGACACAGTCAGTGGTGTTTGTAGCTGATGCAGCAAAGCATCAAAATAATGACTTACAGCATCCGGCAGCATTTGCCGAAGGCCAGATACAACAACTGTGACTGCCACCTTTGACATATCATGACTTAGTTGAGTATTTTTGCGCACTTGATCAAGTAGTTGATAAGCGTTTCGTGAGTTTATGGCTTGTAATGACGAATTGTTCTTGGCGGGCGAACTGGTTTTAGCTGGCGAGCTACTGCATTCCTTTTTTATGCTACCTTGAGAGCAGCTTTTACGAACTTCCGTTATTTGTGTCTCGACTTTCTGCACAGTGTCTGAGGACGACTGACGAGGAAGTGGTTGCGCACGTTCGTTCTCAGGTAGTTGTGTACTTGCTTGAATAGTATCTGCATTTGCATTATTGTGAAAAGTGCTTTGTGCCGTTGCATAAGAGGTATTACTTGGTGCTGATCTGACATCTGCTTCAATATTGTCACTGACAGTCATGGAATATGTTTCTTTGGATGTAACGTTACATTCTAAGTCTGGTGGTTTAGGCGCTTGTCTTTTAGATTTTTTACCTTGCTCGAGTTGCTTCTTCTTTTCTATTAACTTTGCTAGTAAATCGTGTTTATCGGTATGCAATGAATCACTATATTTACTAATTTCTGTTTCCAAAGTTAGTATACAATCTTCCAAGAAATCAATTACAAACTGAGGCTGCACCTAATAACCAATTAACAATGTAGACAATATCCAGATATATTTCCAATACTGTGTAATATTTCTACCTATTTCTACCTATATAATATTTCTACCTATTTCTACCTATATAATATTTCTACCTATTTCTACCTATGTAATATTTCATACCTTTACAGCGGTAACATAATTGGATGGTATGTAACCCAAATGTCCTCCTCTATTTACAACTTGCCACCAATTCTTTTGCTTGATATTACGTTGCAGTAAAATAAAATGTTCGCCTACTCGAAAACTGAGAGTCTTGGCGAATGTGGCCTTAAAATCGTACAAGGCTTTAACCACCTCATAGCCGTCCTCAGCTACATATATTAAAAATAAGAGATTTTGTTGAAAAAAATATCTTGAAAATATGAGAATAATGGTAGATTGTTGTAATGTATATACCCTCTGAACTCACCTAACCTTGCACTGTTATCCTCCATCATTGAAAACGAAAGTGAAACGTGCCGATTACGAGGACTACGCCCAGGTGAAAACCGGGTGAACGCTGCAAAGCCACTTACTTACTTTCATTAGCGTTTAGACATTTTACTTTTTCTTTTATTTGCTTTTTTTCCGTCAACAGTTTTTTTTACTCCAACCAACTCTCTATGTGTATATCACTGTCACCGTTCACAGATCGCGCTTCCTACTTCGAGATTGGTACAAATCGCACTACCGCCATTCACCCATTCACCCACTCGTTCTCGCTCGAGTTACAAATTTCATGCGAATTATCGATCGCATTGCATCAACTCGCTCCATTACTTTTTATTTCAACTTTTATTTGCGTAATGGTTTCTGGCATGGATCCGATTTCATAATAATACGTAACATTAACCATATCAAATAACAGAATTGATTATAGATAAAATTGATTAAATAACTTTCAAATTATCGATATTTAGTAAGATATAGCTTTTGTCAAAGCTTGTATCATATTTTATTGTATAAAAAGTATATTCTGTATATAATATATAATATAATAGCAATAATATATTAAAATAATAAATGCAAAATATTTATTCATGATTCTTATGATACAACTATGATTAATATATTCCATATATATGAAATGATGAATGAAAAACGATACAAGAGAGATATCATGAATCATGTTGAATCGAACATACCAATACCTAACAATAAATTTCTACGTGAAAAATGTAACGCTAAGACAGATGTATTTTTTGTAGCAAAGGTACGCAGTAGATAAGATTCTGCATTAGTTTTTACATCTGGATTATGTGAAACGTTAACGTCTTCTAAACTCATTTCCTCCGCTAATTTTGTAAAGTCCCATAATTTCAATGTATAATCCAAGGATCCTGAAAAAATTATATTATTGATATCTGTTTTGTTCAATCTATACAAATTAATAGATGAAGCAAATACCAGAGACTAGAATATTGCCATCTCGACTAAACGATAGGCAATGAATATTGCCTGTATGGCCCGACAAAGCTGCAACAAGATGACCATGTGCCAAATCCCATACAAGTACACGGTGATCAGCACCAGCCGAAGCTAAAAATCGTCCTTCGGTTGAAAAAGCTAAAGAAAAGATTGATCCTTTGTGTCCAGTCATTAATCGAACTTGACTACCAGACACACAATCCCATAATCTCACAGTCATGTCACTTGAACCAGTTGCAACATAATTCGAATTTGGATGAAACTGGATTATCTATAAAAAGAATAATAATTGATTAATTTAAATAATAATACATTATTTTTAATTTTAACTTACATCAACATCTGCATAATGCCCAGCAAATATTCGTAATGGTTGATGAACATCGGTTGCCCATAATCTAGCAGTTTTATCACTTGAAGCACTTGCAAAATAATAGCCATGCGATGAGAATCTTACATGCCATACGGGAAATAAATGGCCTTTGTAGCAGACAACACATGTCCATGTATGAAGTGACCATAAGCGTACTGAAAAATTATTATAAATCGTAATATTACTTTTTTTACAATTAGTTATACACAAGTAAAATTTTCTGATTATTAATAAATGCAATTTTTATTTATCATTCCTTTATACAGATTAGATTAGATATTAAGAAAAGTATTTTTCATGTCTATTAAAATTACAACTTTTTATGTCTTTAAAATAAAACAAATATTAATTATAATGTAAATTTTAATTGCAATACGTACTTGTTGTATCCTCTGATGATGAAAGCAATAGATTTCTATCTGGACTGAATGAAAGACTATAAATTGGCCCACTATGCCCATATAGACTTCTTGCAGTTTCCGACGTTCGGTCATCCATCATTCTGACCAACACATCATCTATAAAATTTTTCACAATGTAAAATAAGTTAAGGAAATTCTAAATTTTATATATTACCTGCTTCCCTTTCAATATCCGCTAATTGTTCGCCCGTTTTCATTAATCTTAGTTTCTGTGGAACCAAGCTCCATATCTTTATGCCAGAGTCACTGAATCCGATAGCTAATAAACTCGAATCTTCCGCTACTTCTGCCGCTGTTACACTAAACATTAATAATGTATAACAGATATACTTGAAAATAGATATTGAAAAGAAAGCTTATTATTTATACTTACGTATGAATTGTATTCAATAATGTATAAAAACATATAGATGGTAGGGTATCAGGTCCTACAATAACTCTTTTTGTTGCTTCTCTCAATGCTTTAACTTTTTCCAATTTATCTGCATCTTTTCTAAATTATAAAAATGTAATTTGTATAAAAATTAAAATAAATAATGTATTAGTAAGATGTATTTATCTTACAAGTTAGGCAAAGGCATCCTGCCTACAGGTGGTGCATTTGGATCTGATTTAGTCTTTTTTGAAAACAAAGGATCTTTTTTAGTCTTTTTCTTCTTCGGTTTATCTCCATCTCCGCCACCTGTATCATCCTCTTCTTCCTCAGCCGGTGGTACACACTGAATATCTGGTTCCTTTAGAAGTCCATAATAAACTTTGGTTTTGTTATCTATACAACAATTTTATTAATAAACATCTTTTCTATAAAGCACAAAATTTACAATAGTTTTTGTAAAAATAAAAGTACTTGTAAAAGTAAAAAGATATTTTTACCTTGTCTAGTAGCTTCGCCTACCATAGCTCCTGATGTTGCATCAATCTGTTGTTTGTTACGAGCAACACCCTCATACATGTCAAAATAAAGATGTTCCTGTATGATATTTAATAAAACACTATGCTTCTTTTCTTGTAAATGTCGTTTCAGTATGGAAAGAGTGTCCCTTGACATTCTAATTATAAACTGATTAGATCTATAAATAAAGATTGAATAAAACAAGTGAACTATATTACTGGTTCAAGTCACACATATTGTTGCTTACTTGAAAGTGTCAGTTAATTCATTCCCCGCCATTTGTTCCCGTTTTGTTACATTGGATAATTTTTTCAAGTCATCTTGGTAATATTCTTCTAAATTTCCACTGAACTTTTCCATAAGTTGTTTTGCTTCTTCTGAATGGTTATTATAAACTAATTCTAGATACATATGCACCAGAACTGGATATAATATAGTCCCCAATTCATGCTGTAAGAAATTAATGACAAATATTATTATAAAGTAACATAAAATTATAAGTTCATAATATTGTGAAAATTATAAACATTTTCACCAAATATTATAATTTTAACTTACTTTATATATATCCAAAGCTCCTTCTACAAATTTTTTTAATTCACTGTATGCTTTCTCATACTGTGCAGGGTCTCCTTCACTTTTATAAGCAGAAAGAACACTAGTTACGTCAGAATCTGTTTGATGAGTCTCATCAATTGAAATATCTGTGAGATTAGCTTCCTTTCTAAATAATTCTTCGGTCCCCTGCAAAAATAAAAGAGCAAATTACGTTAATAACATTATCTTTAATTATTTGCAATAATCTACTTATTATATTTGACAAATAACATTTGTAAACTTAGGTTAGAATGCTAAGAGCTAAAGAATATTTCATAACTTACCTTCAAATTATATTTTTTCAAAAGCTGTAAAACAGCAAGCATGGTGTTTTTATCGTTATCCATATTTGTATAATTGTTATTGTTAACAATGCACAATTTCTGTTACAATTTCTATAAAGTAAAGTATAAAAAACTTTATACTGTACGATACATATCACAATATCAACACATGCATACAAATATATAGAGAGAAGACTGAGAGTGGACATGTCCGCATTTTACGTGTTCTGTGGGCTAGCGCCTCTATATGCACAAAACGTGCACATTGAACTACGTAGCCAATGTCCAAGAATCCCGTAGGTAATGTTCACGATCTTTTGGGTCTTTTCCGTGCTACGTCCACGACTTTTTGGTTCCGATATGTGCTATATCTACAAAGTGTCGATAATGCATACTTGTAAAACATGATTATGTATATCAATCAGATTTGAAATAATACACACGTATTGTAAATTATTTGCAACATGCAACTGCATACTTTTTTTTAAAACCAATGTGTTTTCTTTATACCAATTGATTCGTCTCATTATTTTATGCATAAAAGTATTAAGGTAAAATTCCCAAAAATTGAATGTTTTACAAGATATTTTGTATTTTATGTCAAAATACTGTAATTTACAAGCCTCATAACTCGAAAAGTACTTAATGAAAAATAACTTCATTATAGTGTTTTAAAAAGCTCTTGACACCAGCTATTAGATTTTGGAATAAAAAATAGGGGTTTCCATTTAAAAAAATTACTCTGACCTTCAAATGACCTTCAAGGTCACGGTCAAGGTCAAATCCAAGATCACCATTGAAAAGCCAGAGAAATTTCCTAAAACTTTTGTATTTAACATTTTTTCGTAAAATGCCTTTCTCAAAACTTATTCGGGGGTTTCCATACTTTTGCCTCACCCTGTATATTTTCCACATTATAAGATATTCCTTGGCGTTCAGAGTTTTAATTTTGATAAATAATTTACTATTTTATTTTTTGCCTTCTATTGTATTTTTAAAATTTTTATCTGTAGATTTGTCAACGTAATCCAATATAAAAATTAATTTTACTTGATTAAAATTCCACGTTTTAAAGCTTTTTGAGCGTTTTTCTATTTCGTATTGTAACACAAATAAATAAATATATGAATAAAAATTAAATTAATAAATGCTCACGCAATAGAAATGTCACGAAACACGTCGCTTTGCGTGAAAACGGCTGCCAACGCAATAAATTTCGATTAAATAAATCTTTCGAAATACGCAATTTAATCGATGTACAATGCGAAATTTGTTACACAATTCTTATTTATTGAGATATATAATTTGTATTTTCCATTTTCTATTACCTATTTGAAGTAAATCAATTGCGCAAAATTCCTTCTTTTATGATAGATAGATACTTGATGCTTGAATATTTATTTCTTTGTGAATATTGATTTATATTTAATTAAAATTGAATTGAGGTAATAAAGGATAAAAATTATAAAAAATTAATTTTGATAGTTATAAATTTGTATATAAATGACTCGTTAAACCGTGTATTTTGCAAAATTTATTTCATCGAGATTTATTGTGTGGAAAGTCGGTATTCATACACATACAAAACAGTATTTCTTTTTTAAACATTTTATTTCGAGGATATTTATTTTTAATTTTAACTTATATATTTATTTATATAAAAATATAAGACAACGTAAAACGTCGTAAATGTATTAAAATGCGGTATTTTAATGGAATAAAATCAATTCTCATCTTAGACAAGGCTAACGAGTTTAAAATAACGCTGCAAAAATTGTGATAATAATTTATTTATGAAAGTTTACATATTTATTTATATTTTAATGTTATGATATGACATAAAAAAGTGCTGTCAATGCTGTAAAACGCGAATATATTAATGAATACATTTCATTTTTATGCATAAAACATAGAAAGCGTATTCAAGTAGTTTAGGCGTAGTATAAACGCGACACAGACGACGTACAAAATTAACTATACGACTTTTTATTTCTCTTTGCTATCGTTGATTGTTATCGTGAATCCCGAACGTGCAATTATATTTTCGAGTTGTTTCTTTCATAATAATTAATCAAATTTTTGCCAATATATCGTATTATTATAAAATTTTAACAATGAGAGGAAGAGAAAACATAGTTCAGTTTTTAATTTGTTTTGTATTGATATAGTATACAGTATAAAATAAATGCTAAAGCAATAGTATAAAATAGATAAATGATAAAGATATAGTATAAAATAATAGTATATAGTTAATAAAATTTTATTTATAAATGTATAAAATATATTTAACTATACAACGCAAGAATGTTAGAGCACTAAATACACATTATTATAACCATTTCTTAGTTTATCACGTGTAATGAGAAACGTCACCATTTCCCCATGCTTTGCCATTAGAAATTTTTTTTCGCCATTTTTTTTGTCAGTAGATTTCGATGATAACTTCCTTTCTCGGTTATTACTATGCCATACGCCGTACAAGAAATACAGAACCAAATCTATGATAACACACAAACAGCTCGATATATTTAATTAATTTGTACACAAATACATATATTTGTTTTCTGGTAATACACTTATCAATTGTTATCGATTCGGCAAATATTTCCCATATTTGTTTATCCAACATCGTCATAAGATAAATGTTAACCAGTTGAGTGGTAGACTTTTCCGAAAGATTTGTGTCAAAAGTTAGAATATCGGAAAACGGTGAAACATGGGTTCAAAGTTTTCGAAAAAGCAACTTTTCGGAATGGGTGTGGATTCCCCCCCCCCTGCCCCTGGGGGCGGGGAGCAGAATAGGGGTCTAAAATGTTAAATGGCACTATGGATCGAGTAGGGATTATTTGAAAGGGCGTTTCAAGACAAGAACAATGATTTTTGAAAATGTTTACTACGACTTTCCAGTTAAAAGTGGAGATGGATCAAAAAAGGGGGGAAGACTTCCGAAAAGCTATCACCTCCGATTTGGCTTATATTCAGCCTAAATACTTATTTTATCTAAATACTTATTTTATCTAGTAAATAATATTTCCAAATGGATTTTTGGCGCAAATGCCCCCTCCGCCCCCTAGCCCCCCCTCAAAGGTTAAAAAATAAAACTGTTTTTGTTAATTGTTTCAGAAAATATTCATTGTACGAAAAAAGTTGTCAAACAAAAAATGAAGCTCATAAAAAGCTCTACAAATAAA